GTTGCAGAATACAACGAAGAGAAAGTAACTTTCTAATGAACGTATTCGTTTGCTCAAAACGGACGCATGCAGGCAGCACAAGCAGCATACGCAACGTTGTTTACAAAAAATAAAATAAATCATCGTACCCATACTTGACGAAGTTCATAATCAGAGTGCTCCACGTGTCGGCTAGTTGGCGATCGTTCTGGTCATAGGTGAAATAAGTGTTGCTACTGTAACCCTCGGTAAAGATGAACGCGTGATCAAGACCGTGATATGCTTCTGAAAGTGACATTTTAACTGCAAACAGCAACATGTTAGCTGCCAGAGCGTACTTTTCACCCTGCTACTTCGCTCGATTCGCAACGTTTTCATCATGCCGAAAAACTTCAGATTCGTCCATTCCTCCTCGATCACTCGTCCACTAGGCGCGTAGTCGAATTCGTAGACGTATACGGTTTGATTTGCTTGGTTGTACATGTTCACTTCTTTGTGCATTGGAGCGACGAATTCGATGTCTGACTCAACCTAGCGCCAACGGTCTACATCGTCATTATGGAGATGCTTCAACAAACCAGTACCTTCTGCAACACATGTACGAAATTAGCCATCTCCCACTTCTTCTGGTTCACGCCGTGCAAGGCGTAGTGGAAAAACGTCGCGTCGGTGATAATGTCCAGTGTTTCGTTGTCCGTTGGAAAGTTCAAGTACGGCTTCGCGCTTTGTTCCATGATCTGTCTGATTAGGTCCCATGCCGAGGTCTTTCCCACGTCAAAATAGCTATCAAATCCATAGTAAATTGCTAGAAAAACAAATTTTGAGAAGCGTCTAATCGTAGAAACTGATACCCTTTTTGTGACCCCATTCGGCAGCTGCAGTCCCAATCATCACTGGAATTCGTGAACGCTTGTTCAGCCAGTTCTCCAGATCATATGGTATTATTTCTCCATCAATTACAACTTCCGACAGTCCTAGCTGCAACGAAAACTGTACGTTCAGATCTTTAATTAAATTCCTGATCAGATGACTCGAAATAATTTATGCATAATTTACACTCAACCTAAAATATTCAGAAGTTATGTCGCGCTATGAGCTAACAGACGCAACTGATACATCGCTGATATTTAAGTCAATCACAAGTTTGTTCTGGAAACCGTTTTTAAATAGCTGAAACGAGAAGCTTCCTACAGGCTGAAATGACACCCATAAAGTCATTGTTTCAGTGGTCAGAACCGTTAGATTATGTCGTTGCCATTCAAAGCGCTCTACGGGAAAAGCGGAAAATAAATCTAAGTGGGAAAGTTATTTCCTCAGTTACGCAAGAAGGTTGGAATTTGAATCGGCAACCGAATATCGAAGCTCAAATTGTACCTATCCTTTCGATGGGAGAGATGCGAACAGCTAAGGTACGTTGACCAAGTACAGTGTTAAGTTAGAAGGCAAAGAATGTGATCAACTTTCCTTCTATCTAGGCCAAAAGGCAAAAAATCAGAAGCACCACCATACTGCTGAAAATGCAACATAAAACGGTTAATTAAATACAGCGCAAAACGGTTGGTCTATCGGATAATAGAGCACTAGCGATCAAACGGCTAGTAACGATCCAGTTTTGTCAATGACATCAACACGACTGAACATAATCGGTTCTGCCTTGAGGAAGGCCCGTGAAATGTTAGCTAAAATGTTGGTAGTGGTCGCTTAATGCTGTTCTCTATTTTCAATAAAACAGATAGACTCGTGTACTAACTAATAGCCTTATCTGATTTTCTTCCTCCATGATGAAACTACTAGATAAAATAAATTGCTTGGGTCAATGCTTTAAATTACCTTCGGCTCTACTCATTTCTGTTCGTCATAGATCCAACGTCGCGTTATAGTCACAGAATGAGGACAAGACTATGCTAAAGAATTACATGAAGGGGACAGAATGCTGTGAATTACACTCTCTCAGCTGTGTGGTAGGCTTCAAGGTCGCCATTAACCCTCAGATAGTCTAATAAAATGATGGCAATAATTGTGATTGAAAGATTTTCTAAGGTTACGACAAGGATACTGTGATTATAGACATGGAGAAACGATTGTGGATCCTTTGCTGTATCTTTCTCTAATACGAGCAATATAAAATCTGTTGTTAGGAATGAAAAGGACGTTTAGATTAGAATATGGTTTTTAAAACAACCAATAATATCTACGCTCAAACAATTATACATTGACTGTTTACCTGTAAATGGACTGTTACTTATATGATTAACATAAAAATCTACTTCTCCAATTAATGCTACCTACCGCCATCGTGTATGCTCTTCTCATAGTTGGGTCAGAGAAGTCAGCCTTTTCTGACAGACACTGAAATTTTTCATAGGAATTCAGTGAATCCTCACAATCCATCGGCTTCTTCATAAAATTGCATTCGTAATGTCCATTAGATTCAAAATCTAGCAAAATCGCTAGCTGCTGAGTTTCTACCAGTAGTTGCTCTTTACAAGTGAGATAACTGAAAAGTTTTTCCAAGCTCCATGCAGGAATCCTCTCTTTGGTTACTGCCCATCCCGCTGCGTAGGAGCCGCTCATCATTATCGCTCCATGTATGAGATCTAAATGAGAACGATACAAAGTGCCAAGCGAAAGCTGCAGTAAACTTTCAAACACAATCGCATAAAACTTTCTATACCTCTTACTGGCTTAAAAATGCACACTTTTTATCTATTTCAGTTACTTTGCTTGCTATTATTTAGCCACCCTTTCATTTATGATCGATTTCTACCACTGGTCTGTACAATATGTCGAGCTTAGCGTTACCAGGAAGGAAGAGCCTAGAATGAGGAAAACAAATGCACAAAATTTTTTAAGCAAACACGTTATTTGTTGATTTGTTTTCTGAATTGAAGCATGAACAAATCTCATTTATTCGTCACGCTTGAAGCCATTGCACCTTAATTAGTTAGTTTGTTAAAATTTTAATTTTGAAAATGTTGCCGCGTTCACAGAGAACTTCAATGGACTCATGAAAAGCTTCTATCACTTCAACTTAGTATACATGGAAAGTTTAAGAAGGCAGTTAAAGCGAATCCACAGTGAACGCTACCAAATGCACCAGTTCAGCATTTTGTCGTGGTAGTCGCAAAATTCGTACACAAAGTTTCTGCAGTTTGTGTTTAATTGTTTAAGTGCCTTTTGAAAAATACCGTCGGTTTCTAACATCTCAGGTAGCAAAACGGAAGCGTTGAAACATAGAAAAGCTGTATTTTTTATGTAATATTATGACACAAGAATTGCAGTGTTCACCGCATAACAATGCTCTTGTCATTCGCAGTCTCAGACAACTTGACGCTGAAACTTTCCTTTAACAACTATATATTTGAAAAAGTCAGAAACTGACGGCATTAAAGTTGAAGAAGCAAATTTATTGTTTGGGATAGTCCCAATTTATCAACGGAATTTCAATCCTTTATCAACGCTCATTTCGCTGATGCATTTAATACTTTGAGGCAGTGGTTTCCTTTGTGAGGCTCTGATGCTGAACACGTGATGTGGGTAAAATAAGCGAATTCATGCGATATTATCAACAGCTTTCGATACCTACAGAATCAGATTCATACCATTCTAGAGTCATAAATCGTAAAATTGATTCAAAATTCGAATTTATCTGTTTCACAGAAATGAAGTGGTGAATATAACGGTAAAAATCTGACATCGATCAGCTACTCACTTTATATTCAGGAATTTTGTCTGCTGATATAAGACAGCTAGTAGCCTGGTAAACACTTGTACCTTGACGATTCTATGGAACTTGTAGAGAAAAGCGTTGGTACTAAGTATCAAAATCTGTGTGGTTTGGTGCCCTTAACCATGAATCGGCAATGCACCCGTCATTTCATCAGAAATCACTGGGTCAGAATCAGAAACATATAAGGTATTTAAAGCATTCAAATGTTCTAAGACTTAGTAACATTTGGTTGCTCATTCAACCTTTCGAAATTGGAGATATTGCCAAAACCGATGCACTGGCGGCGCCAGCGCTCTCTCCCATGATCGTAACCGAGTTCGGATTGCCGGAAAATTCAGCGATATTTTTTCGAGTCCATAAAAGCGCCTCGATTTGATCCCACAGCCCGAAATTTCCCTTGTTACTGGGCAACAAAGTCGCAAGAAAACCTAGAGAGAACAAAATGCTGATGCAAATATACTTTTTGCTAAAACGCGACACGAACTTCTACCTAGCGGTCCCAACCGGTAGTTGAGGGTAACCAAAACTACGCCTCGGGAAATGATGTTCCTGACGATTGTCGACAAGTCCATGCCCGTATCGCTAGATCCGGCTAAAAACGATCCTCCATGTATCCAGACAAGCACCGGAAACTTGTCTGCCGACTCTGGCTTCTGCACCATAGTAGTGTAATTATGAGACAAAAACGCATCGATCACTACTTACAAACGGTGAAAACACGTTCAGATACAAACAGTCCTCGCCTTGTCGTTTCATGTTTTCGCCGGAATAGCGATCTTTAGTATGGAAATCCATGAATTGAAAGCACGGAGGACCATAATCAAGTGCAAGTAAGTCTCCGAGCCACGGCTCTTTCTTAGCTGGCTTCTAAACGTATAGGCATTTCCGATAACTTATCGAATAGTCTTATTACATATATACATGTAGGTTAAATATACATGTATACATTAAATGCACATATACAAAATGGCATTCAGATGCTGAACATAACAGAGCAGTGATTGCGAAATACTAAATAAATAATATTGATACAGTTGTCTAAGAAGTCTGCGTCGGAAATTGCAGGTGCGAGATTCAATTTTGCGCGAAAGCAATCTCGAATTCCTTAAGCGAGGAATTTACCACACACCGCTTCAGACCGAGATTGCCCAGTAGATAGGACATCGAACTCAAAACCGATGGGTCTTGAGATCCAGCCCCGGTCGGAGTCATTCGCTCTTCTTCCCTCCGAGGCTGATAAATGAGTACCGCTCTGACGGAAGGAAGCAAGATGGTACATATGACGTTTGCCTCATGGATGCAGACTTAAAAGAAAAACAAAGCACTCATAGGTGATGGCATAAAAACAGAGATCAGCAGTGTACAAGCAATGAAAATCATGAAAAGAAGGACGCCAAAATGGCAAATCATGACAGTGAAGGAAGACCAACATTCCAACGTTAACCAACTTTTCATTTTTCCCAAGCGGTTAAGTTTCGACAGAAGATAAACCGACTCTGGATCACAAGCGCTTGATATGCCTACCAAAGGTTACTCTTGGTCATCCCCGCGTTCTTCGGCCAGTCGGTTGGGCAAGTAAGAGCTGTTTCGTCTTCCATCCTGAATGTGTTCGCAAGACGTACTCGAACCATAGCAGTGGTGACTTCTCAGTCTGGAGAAGAAGCGGCTGTACAAGATCCAAGGATCTTTCAGATATCTGAACCTTCTTCAGATTGAGAAGTTACAGCTGCAATGGTCTGGGCAAGTGTTGCGATGCCTCCAGAAAGGAAAGTGAAGCAACTACCTATTGCCCAACCGACCGGCAGAAGGTCCAGGGGACAGCCAAGATTAACTTGGTGCAAATATATGGAAGAAGTCTGCTCCAGACCCTAGTTGTCGTTTGTAAAAGCTCAGGCTGTGGCTGAGGATCAGAAACGTTGGAGGCACTGTCTGATGCGCCTGCCTCCGCGACCCGAGAAAAGAAGCGGTCATTGAAACTGATTGACTGACTGACTTTCAGTCGTCCGTAAGTGACGTGATGTAATTGTCCCTCAAAATCGATGGCAATGCCTTAAGTCGGCAGAAGATCGGAACTAAAGTATTCGCATATGTTTGCAAGCCTCCCACGTCACCAAACTACTTCATCTTCCATTGAGTGATTCAGTTAAAGCCATTTGAAACACATTGTTGGCAGGTTTGCAGGTGCCTGAGGCAACAAAGTGGCTGCTTTCATCAAGCATGCAAAACAGTTAGCGGGGGCGGCAACAGAAGGGACGACATAAGGGCTTGCGAAAGCATAATATGATAAAAGATCATAGGTTCTTCGAATGAATCTGAGGAAAGCACATCTTATTCATGAGTAAGCAATACTGAAACCCATAACAAATGTGATTTAATTATAGATTTAAATAAATTTAATTATAGCACCGAACAATGAATCTGTCAGATGACAGATAACTTGATGTTTCGCCTTGCTGCTTGACACGAACCAGCTGCTGTAGGCATGGCAGACATTAACCGAACCACCAACTGTACCTTGAAGAAGGCCTGTTAGATAATATTATAGATCGAAAGATCGGTGGCAGCCTAACCTCTCAGAGACTCGTTGACTTGCATTGCTTATAACTAAACCGTTAGTGCGCTATTTCGATAAGGCCACAACCTGTACCTTCCACCAAGGCATAGTATCTGTGTATCTCTAATGCATAAATGCATCTTGCGTCATCTTGCTGGCTGAAACAATAGCCTGCTCTTCCGCAATGATGCATCGCATGCGAATATTACCTTATACTACTTTGCGAAGAGAAAAGTAAGGGTTTGTACGTCGGATTATGTTAATAAATAAGCTAGACTCATTTTCCGTGCAAGTAAAACACTGGCTCTAGAAACACATAGACGAAAAGCAGAAAACTGCTCTAACCAGTTATATAATATGGAACTCCTTGCTCTAAAGAATTAGCATTTTCAAACGATTCCATCTCGCCGAGGGACTGAATCGATATCTCTGTCATATACAGCCCACGAAACACCATTTTATCACTGCTGCAGATGCAAGGGGATACCAAAAATAAACCCAAAAAATAACGAACCTATCTGGGGGGGGGGGAATGACACGAATATTTAAGCAGATCAATACATTCATGAACATACATACGTATGCACTGATCTAGAAAATTAAATACCAGCAGTTAAGCATGCGACAAAAATTTGTTCAAGTTTCTTTCGGCTCATAGGATCAACTTAATAATTCTTATTCAAGATCATGCTAAGGATCACGTAAGGAAGATTACGTTTCCGAAATTAATGGTTTTTGCGTTTTAGACTGATTATACATGGTGCATCTGAACCAAACGACGACACAAAAATGAGGGCAAGGATTCCAGCAGACATATTCAAAAACAGGCAGACCTCAAAGTAATGAACAGAAGGAAGACTCCCGCTTGCTAAACAGAAAGGTAGATGAATCAGCTTAAACACTTTCAGTGATGTTACGTACTTCAGTCAAGTAGATGGGAGTGGGAGGAAAAAATGTATTTCGAAACATATTTCCAAGTCAGAAGACTAGATCGAATGGAAAGTAAGGGGAAGGAAGAATAAAGTGAGCCTATCGTTCGTTTCACACAGACTGCTGGTGCAGATTACTGGGACATCTAACAGGAATATAGGGCAGCTGTATTAGTAGAATACGATAGATATACAATCAGCGCGAAAGAGACCTAAAGGAAAACAAAGAAATGAACTGAGCGGTGAACATTATGAAGAAGCACCTCACCTACAAAAATAGACTTACCGCGGCGAAGGATCGGGACAACAAACCCAACATAACTGGGGGAACATGCCGCAAAATTTACCGAAATAGCAAGCTTGAAAATTCGAAATCTTTTTCCGGCAAATATCATAGCAGCACCAAGCTGCTGTTTACCTAGCCATTTGTAAATAGAACGCGAATTTATAAATATCAGATATGAGGTCCGTGTCAATAACCTTTAATTGTAAAGAGCACTTTTCACTGAAACGCGCCTCAGCTGTCACTTACTTAATGACTAACGCCTGAAAGCAAATTGCGAGTAAATCGTTGTTCAGTTGCTGAATAGAAATCAAACTTGGCACTTGGCGAAGGCAACTGATGCGTTTTCGTCAGTTGTCGTGATTCAAAATTTCAGCATGTCGCAAACTGCGTGCCACTGATTGTTCGATGTATCGAGTGTTAGACAACATTGGTCATGATGATCGAGAGACAAACCGAAGTCGACCAAGTCAGTTTCGCCGATGAACGCCAAATCTATTAGCGACTTTAAAACCAAACGGTCCTAATACATTTCAGAACCACAGCTTGAAATCAACTAAAGGGCGTTCGCTTACATCCGAACCCAACGAATTTTGTTGTGCAGGTCATCCTTGCTACCCTGTGAAAATTCTCAGGCTAAGTTAACATGGAAGCTCATGATATTTGCCAGCGGAAACATGATATTTAGTTATGTATTTTTTGGAATTCTCTAAATTTCAGATGCCAAAGCCCGCATAGTATTTTCTAACAATGACTGTCGGCTTTTTTGCTTTGATGAGTTTTACCATGTGTACACACCGGAAAGCGAACAACGAGCAAAATATCAGATTAAATAGAAATTAACCCCGATTTTATTTGTTTATCAGCAAACTGCCAGTTTTCAGTACCGCCGGCAAGAATTATCATTTCATGTAACTTCTCGAGATTCGCACGGCGTAGTCGCTCCGTTCCTTGCTTCTAGTAGCCAATGGAATCGTTTTATTACCGCAGGTGCTAAATTCCATGGCGCCTCAGACTGATTAAACGGCTTTCTAGGCTGCTAAAAACAAAGTCATAATGCTACTACATCATGCGAATTTGGAAAAGTGACATAAAAAATATAAAATAAATTATAAGGAAGCAGAAAGGTGGAATTTATTGATCTTCGCCACTGCAGTAGTGTGAACATTTTTCACTAACCATCGAGCGGCCATTTAATTAATTGATGGCATCCTCAGGTCGCTTGTCCGACTGATCTCTTTTAAGGACCTGCAGAGCACTTTGACTCGACATTGTTTGGAAGATTGTTTATTTTACACTATACAAAATTTCATTTGCAATTAATGACGAAATCTCGGTATGTTATGTATGGCGGAGAAATCATTTTATATAAGGAATATCTGTACACCTCTTCAGATAGCTCTTTGTTATAGTCATATGATTTAATGATCCTATCTGCTAACCAAATCATAAATTCGGACAGCAGAACTTGCACACTACATGCTTGTTATATAATTTAAACAAGTGTTCCTTTATTTTGCGCTGGAGCAGCATACTCTGCGGAGTGGAGGTTGTAAGTGCTTGGTCTAAGAGAAGAATATTTGACGAAAATTCTTCTCGGAGTGATCAGGGCATCGATCTTATGCAGCACAACGAATCCATCGTAGCGTTTATTTCTTATACAAAAAACAACATTACTGGATTGAATGACAGCTACCATTATAGTAAGTGTATAAGAACATGGTTTATTACTCTAAGCATTTTAAGTGCACAACAGGATTTAAGTTTATCATATAATTGCAGTTAAGAAATACACATGAAGAAAAATACACATCCACATTATGCATGTATGTATGTTAAAAAATACACATCCATACTATGTAGAAGGTTCGTATTATTATGATCAAAAGGTTGATAGTTAGCTACCTCCGTTAATAACGTATCTTGGAGATTACACTCCATTTAATGAGATATTTTTTCACGTGGTAAATAATTCTCAGGGTTTATTGTTTGTAAGTGCCCTTTCGATACTAAAATGTTTCAGTGTCAATTATCTCTTTTGTCTATGATGCGTGCATTAATAACTTTTTAAGCGTACCCGTAATAAATCGCTCTTAATTCGTGCAGTTGCCTAACAACGATTGCCGGCATAAATTAAATAGATATATTTCAGTTCGTTTTCCCTGTAGCTCGCACTTTGTGGTAAGGCACCGGAATTCTCGGAGGAAGTGTTTCTAAGTATGAAAGCGTTTGGATAGGGTTTAAAGAGAATTACTTTGCGCCTGATGATAATCGATCTTTTCCCACCGAAACTATAACGAATATTAAATATTTTCTGTTCAACGGCCTTGCCTGCCTGATCAATGCCAACAATGGCGCTGTGATTACCACTAATCGAAGGAACAGGTAGAATGGATCCATAAGTAATTGATACTGACGACTTTATTGAAGACATCGAAATTTGGGCGCAGTTATTGGTACCGACGACTTTATTGAAGACATCGAAATTTGGGCGCAGAGCCTATAGGAAAATACGCTGTACAGAAAGCGGCGCAATAACTCTTTCCGTTCATTAAAAATGCAGAATCATCGCGAGATCGAATCAGAGTCCACAGCTCAGGAGATAAAAATTTGAAAAGCCTGGCCTTACTGCCAGGTTAAAAAAATTAGGACGCAATTGATGTTATGATGCAACAACGTGAAGTCTCTGCTAAATTTGAAATCATAATTGAAAACCGTGCATATTTGCCTTTAACATATTTTCAAAGCTATGACCGGTTTTCTTTTGAAAATTACGATTATCCGCTTTCACACACTCCATACCATTATAACCTTGAGATTTTACATTAAATTTCTGTGTGAATGTAAAACGATATCGCGGGCATGCGAGAGCCATATATTGAGTTTGTACATTTGTCAGGGGACCTCGATATCGAACGACAGTTGCCAATGTGCACTTCAGATAAGTTTGATTGAAACATTATTATTTCACATTAAAGATTTTTTTATCAAACTGGTTACCGCTACTAATCGGTCGCTGATGATCAAAAACCAGCGTGAAGGCAGAAACAAAAGTCGAATCGCCTCTCTGTATGGTGACAAGCACCATCACTATTGTGGAACTTTATCAAAAGGTGAAATAAGTCAAGCAGTGTGGCAGTTTTCATGGGCAGAATTACTAGTTACATTAAAAGTAGTCTATATGTTTCTTTTTTCTGTACTTTTCTTTTGTATCCAGGCAGGCAAATGATTTATGAAAATTTAGAGATCAAGATTTACTACCATTTTCATACTCTACTTACCTTTTGACAAATGTCACTAAAAATTACCTCGTACTGAGAATAGATTTATTTCTTTGAAAGACGCAACATGGAGAGTTTGGGCAATAAGAAAATAATTACTGAATTTTTAGTGTCAAGCTCATTGAATAAAATTTTGCGTAACGATGAGGTTCGGAAACTGTTGAAATGGCAAATGTTGATTAAACTGTTTCTTCACAGTAGAAGCGAGAAACTAAATCCCATACCAATGTTCTAAACCGATTAATTTCGTAATCAAGCCTAGCTACTGTATCTCTCACCTTGCGAAAGTGGACCCACACAATTAAGTGATAATTACAGAGGTTAATTTAACGTATATGTTATGCACAGTCGCAAAAAAAAACTTCTGCGATACATCAGATAAGTGGATATGTTCTAATTGTCTGTGTAAGGTATTTATCCCGTATCTTCAAG